TGCGTACAATGTTTCTAGGTGTCACGCAGTTTTCCAAATGCAGTCGTATTTGGCCTACAGGCCGTCACCTCTGCCTCAGCCCCACCCTGCTGTGCGGTTCTTTTCTGTGTGGGTGCACAGATGCGTCTTCAGCTCACTGGATCCAGAGAAAGAGTTTTTGACACACGGTGAACTCACTCGACTTGTTTCCCGGGTTTTTAAAATGTCTTGTACCACCACGATGCATTGTGGTTGAGACTCAGGGAGGTTTTTTTCTGTGTGGGTGCGCAGATGTGTCTTTAGCTCTCTGGAGCCATCAGTGAAATGGTTTCTGGTACATGGTGAACTCGCTCGACTTGTTTCCCGGGTTTTTAAAATGTCTTGTACCACCACGATGCACTGCGGCTGAGACTCAGGGAGGCTTTTTCCTGTGTGGGTGCGCAAAGGTGTCTTTAGCTCACTGGAGCCATCAGAGAAATGGTTTCTGGTACGTGGTGAGCTCGCTCGACTTGTCTCCCGGCTTTTTAAAATGTCTTGTAGCACCACGATGCATTGGAGTTGAGACTCGGTAGGGCTTTTGTCCGTGTGGGTGCCCAGATGTCTCCGCAGCCAGCTTCGGCTAGCGAATGCGCTGTGGCACACCTTACAATTGTATGACTTCCAACCTGTGTGGATTCGAAGAAGATGGCCCGTCAGGTTGCCTCTGAGCGCAAAGGTTTTGTGACACACGTTGCACTCGTACGGTTTCTCACCTGTGTGAGTCCGGAGATGGGCCTTTAGAGTGCCCATTTGCGCAAAGGTTTTGTGACACACGTTGCACTCGTACGGTTTCTCACCTGTGTGACTCCGGAGATGCCTCCCCCGCTCCGCTCTCCTGCTGCCGTTTGTAGTCACTGCTTGGCGTGCCATGTTGGTCACACTGTACTGTTCATGATGTGGTCGCAGCAACAACAATAACAATAACCGTAATACCATAACTCATTTGGCTCCGGGGCGTGGTGGAGTGGCGTGGCGTCGTGGCGCCCAGCACGCCGCCGAACAGAGTCACCGCAGCAGCGGGTCAGATTAGCCGGCAGTCGTCGACAAAAAAACATTTCTGCCTGTGGCAGCAAATGGCGGTCCCCGTTAGTGGATGTGGAGCGTGAGGGTCGTCGCGGAGCGGCGCGCGCGCTCTCCGACCAAAAAGCGACAGCAGAGGCGCACCTCAGTCCGCGGTCAATATTTCACTAAGGTTTTCCCACGTACGACGACGCCCCCCCGGCAGCTCTTTCTGGACTCCTTGTTTTTCCCTTCGATGGCGCCGGCCGCGAGTTTTGTGTGTTCGTCCGGAGTGGCCATATCAATCTCTCTGCTCCACGGCTCGCGGTCGCGGTGTCCGGCGGCGTTCCGGCAGCGCAGTTGCTTGGGATCGATTGACGTCTGATGGTTTTGATCGTCTCACGTCCCCCCGTTGGATCGTTGGGTCCGTTTGGGGCGATGACCCCCTTGTCTTCCTCCACGGCGCCCCGCGCGCGCGAGGTAGCTGGCCGTCCGCGGACTCCATTGCCTTCTTCCCGGATGGCGTTCGTGCATTATGACGGCGTTGTTACTACAACCTGCGCCCCCCGCCGCGGGCCTCACTCACTCAGTCCCGCCCGGAGTGTGTGAGGTGTTGATGCGCACGCGGTCCAGGCAGGATGTGAGGCAGGAGGCGTGGTGTGCGGGTAATCCAAGGCCCCCCC